ATGAAAGCGCAATGTTGCTAGCATAGCTGCAATGTTGATTTTGAGATGATAAAAATCAGGTTGCAGAACGTTATTTCTCTATCTATGATGTTAGTTAGGCCTGACGTTTCAGGCTCATAAAGACATATTTGCAGTCAACTATGACAGAAAAGAGACGATCAAGTTTGGTTGTACTCAAATCAAAATGCACAAAGGCATTGGATCTAAATACATTAGTGAAGCGTTTTGCTGAGCAACATGGAAATCACCACATTCAGCTGTTATAGTCATGTTAACTTTATGTTCTGCTCTCTGCTGAACCTTTACAGAGCTGCTATGTTTTGTTTTGGCACCTGAGAAAATATGATATTTCCTTTAATAAAACCAAAAGTGTTAAAAGTTAAAAATGTGATACTGGTGTGGATCCTGCTTAATATGAAGCAGTGTTGTTGTTTCTTTTTTGTATATATAATATGAAACTATCCAGAAATGACCCGTATGAACCTACTCACAAGCAAAATGTATTTTTATGTTGCTTCTTTTCAGATTTGTGGAGATTTTGATGTAACATACAGAACCCGCCTTTTTGTTGATTTGTTGATACAGCAGTTTGGAGGACCAACTCTGCCATATTTACAAATAAATACAGAAATAAATAAATGCTTAATAAATAGATAAGCATACAATTAGTTGCCACCAAAAATACAAACAACAAATAAATGTAAGTAGAAATTAAATTATACAGCTAGTCATAAAGGTTTATAACTCTTTTAATTGGCTTCTTTATTTCTTTGCCTTTTTAATATTTACCTTATTTATTTTTTTGTCATTTATTATCTTCAACTTCATTTTTTAATTACTTATATTTTTAAGTATTTATTTATGTGCATGTTATCATATTTTTGTCTGTTTTATTCTTCCTTTGTATTTTTTTACCCTAGTTATTTCTTCGCCGCTATTTCTTTCTGCCTGCCCTTTTAACATTTCTGCCTGCCATTATAATATAATTTCTAATTACATTTATTTGTTGATTGTATTTTTGGTGGCACTTAATTGTATGCTTATTTATTTATTGAGCATTTATTTATTTCTGTATTTATTTTTAAATATGGCGGAGTTGGTCCTCCATATGCAGCTCTATCTACAGCATATTTACATGCATGAAATGTCCCTTTCATGTTGCCTTAACTGCTGTATGTCAAGTTACTGAGGAACAAATGGGGTAAATGTGTGTTCAGAGTAAACATTACATAGATGTCCAGTACCTTGTTCGGGTGCCTTGACCCATTTATTTCTACTGTGTAGTTATGCTCACTTTAGTACAGATCTCTGATGGGTAACTTTTTCTTTTTTATAGTTTCTTCTCTGACAGTCAATCTCACACATCTGAGACTCAGCACCTGTGTCTTACCTTAATACCTTTACTGTCATAAGGCCCCTCTAGAAGTAGTGTTATCATTCTTCTATCTCCTATTAAGTGAGATCACATTGTACGATGTATTTCTAATATGAACTGTTTCACATGAAACACTTACTCTACATACTATTCTCACCAAACTGTGATAACTGGGATTAAATTCAGTGTAAACAAGTGCCATATGTTGCCACCCCTGAAAAATTCCTGCCCCCCTCTCGCCACCCCATAAATATTTTTCTAGATCCGCCCCTGCCTCCATATAAATTAGAATTTCTTGCGCTGAAGGGGAGTGTGTGCGAGAAGTTTAATGACTATCCATACGGGGCCCACTTTGTGGTGGTGACTGACAATAATCCGCTCACTTACCTGTTAGCATCTGCAAAGTTGGATGCCACCAGCCACAGATGGCTTGCTGCTCTGTCCACCTACACCTTCAAGCTGCAATATAGAGCTGGAAAGCAGAACTTCGACGCTGACGCTCTTTCTCGCCGCCCTCACAGCGGCTCTGAAGATCTGTCAGTTCAGAAAGATTGGGACTTGATCAACAAATTCACTGAAGACCATGTAATTGAACCTGGGGAAGTGGAGGAACTCGATCCTGATACAGTGTCTGCCATCCGCCAGCACTGTCTTGTCACCTGTCAGCCCAGCAGTTTGGCAGAGCATCCTATCATTTTTCTTGAGTCTCTAAGCCTGTCAGCCAACTCAATTCCTGAGTGCTATGCCAGCGAAGACCACCATGGATGGCTTCCATTCATTTTATATGGAGCCGTTCGCGTGAACTTTTCTGCCCAGTTTCTTTGAATATGATAAACGGAACAACATGTTGATATTATGAATAATTTTTTGCATTATGCATTTGAACTTTGGTACCTTTGAAGTATGCTTAATGGTATTTTAAAGCCTATGGTTAGTGGTAAAAAACTACTCCATCGAATGAATGCACTGTTATTTATTGAATATTTTGATATAGTGAGTAATTTAAACAAATCATTTATTATGATGTTTACATTTTAATATATATTGTACAATAAGGAAACATTGCTATATACACTCACCGGCCACTTTATTAGGTACACTTGTCAAACTGCTCTTTAACACTTAATTTCTAAGCAGCCAATCACATGGCGGCAACTCAGTGCATTTAGGCATGTAGACATGGTCAAGACAATCTCCTGCAGTTCAAACCGAGCATCAGTATGGGGAAGAAAGGTGATTTGAGTGACTTTGAACGTGGCTTGATTGTTGGTGCCAGAAGGGCTGGTCTGAGTATTTCAGGAACTGCTGATCTACTGGGATTTTCACGCACAACCATCTCTAGGTTTTACAGAGAATGGTTCGAAAAAGAAAAAACATCCAGTGAGCGGCAGTTCTGTGGGCAGAAATGCCTTGTTGATGCCAGAGGTCAGAGGAGAATGGCCAGACTGGTTCGAGCTGATAGAAGGGCAACAGTGACTCAAATAACCAAACGTTACAACCAAGGTGGGCAGAAGAGCATCTCTGAATGCACAGTACGTCGAACTTTGAGGCAGATGGGCTACAGCAGCAGAAGACCACATCGGGTGCCACTCCTCTCAGCTAAGAACAGGAAACTGAGGCTACAATTTGCACAAGCTCATCGAAATTGGACAATAGAAGATTGGAAAAACGTTGCCTGGTCTGATGAGTCTTAATTTCTGCCGTGACATTCGGATGGTAGGGTCAGAATTTGGCGTCTACAACATGAAAGCATGGATCCATCCTGCCTTGTATCAACGGGTCAGGCTGGTGGTGGTGGTGTCATGGTGTGGGGAATATTTTCTTGGCACTCTTTGGGCCCCTTGGTACCAATTGAGCATTGTTGCAACGCCACAGCCTACCCGAGTATTGTTGCTGACCATGTCCATCCCTTTATGACCACAATGTACCCAACTTCTGATGGCTACTTTCAGCAGGATAATGCACCATTTCATAAAGCTGGAATCATCTGAGACTGGTTTCTTGAACATGACAATGAGTTCACTGTACTCAAATGGCCTCCACAGTAACCAGACCTCAATCCAATAGAGCATCTTTGGGATGTGGTGGAACGGGAGATTCGCATCATGGATGAGCAGCCGACAAATCTGCGGCAACTGTGTGATGCCATCATGTCAATATGGACCAAACTCCCTGAGGAGAGCTTCCAGCACCTTGTTGAATCTATGCCATGAAGAATTGAGGCAGTTCTGAAGGCAAAAGGGGGTCCAACCCGTTACTAGCATGGGGTACCTAATAAAGTGGCCGGTGAGTGTATATTACGGACTGTACTATTTAATATAGCTTAGATATTTAAATTATGTGTGCACTCAAGACTTATACTGGTCCTGTTTATATAGGTCAGGTCAGATGGCGAGCTAAGGAACCTTACCTGTGCGCGAAGGGCAGGAAAAGCCTAAAGTTGCTGAACACAAGCCCGGACTGAAACCTGGAGGACTACTCCCGCCTGCTCTTGCGTCCCTCCGTGGTCCGCTTTGGCCGGTCCCTTCCACCTTCTGTCGTCCGCTTTGGGCCCTTTGGACATTTTGCCTTTCGGGCCGTGACTTATTGCTTTTTGCGTCACTCATGCAAGTGTTTGGGACTCTTCTTTTCTTTTGAATAATGTACTACTACTGATGAGTTTTTCATGTCTGTGAGATTACACTGTATATATATCTTTGAATGGCCATTCCTATATGTAAATATTATATGTTCTTTGACTTTTCCACTTTCTAATATATGGTACCAAGCAAAATCAAATCATGTGTCAAGTCTCACGCCACTCCTAGAGCCGAACTGAGAAATCTTCTGATCTAGCCCAGTACATAATTAGCTGTGACATACAGTTTGAAGACGTTTTGCTTCCCATCCAGGAAGCTTTTTCAATTCAAAATGATTAGAAACATGCAAATTGAACCTGACGAGCAGGTCCGCCCCTTTGGAAGGGGGGTATTTTTGTTTCTTTGTTAGCCTGTAATACGCAACAAAACAACCCCAATTCCAAAGGAACGACCCACTCGTCGGGTCAATTTGCATGTTTCTAAGCCAAAACAAGGATTTGCTTTGGTCCACTCAGCCTTGACCTCAGCACTATTTTTAACATTTTGAATTGAAAAAGATTCCTGGATTAGAAGTGAAACTTGACCTAGGTGACTGAGAATCTTCACCAGCAAGATGAGTGATAATTGGTAACGGGAAGAGTTAGACAGGTTACTAAAATGAGTAATCAGGCCAGCTCCTGGAGCCATGACAAAATCTGGTCTTTACAGTAATCTGAGTGTTGAAAGAAGCACTAAAATATGTTGTTTTATTTTGCTGCTTGCCAGGATTTCTTTTTAAAATTAACTCTAAAGATTTTCATTCATTCACAGTCATGTAGACTAGGTCTAGATATTTTTATATCTAACTTTGTAATACACTAAACTGCGTTTTTCCAAAGTACTGTATTTAAACTAAACATATTTGCAAATCTGGGGCCCTTATTTCCATCCCATATTTGATGTTTAGTCCTCCTTGAAAAGGCCCCCTAGCCCCCACCTCATGCGGTGCACAGTTGAAATATGAGAACTGCCGACACAGCAGCAGTGTGCTGAATGAAACAGCTGTCAGTGTCCATGCAGGCAGCACGCGCTGCACCCCATACTGCTGCACATCCTCAGCCTTCTGGAGTGCCTCATTTCTCCATATGTCTACTGTGAATAGCAGTTCCACAGGCTGTCGGGCCGCAAAGATGGCTGGAAAGTTTCTGTCTGGCTCCGGCCGGTGTTCCGCAGTGACCACCGGTCAGCAGCAGGGGCGGATGCGTTCTCATTGCCAGGCTGTCAGCTCCACTACTGCCCACATGGGAGGACCACCGGCAGCAGTGAGACAGCAGGATAACCCAGGGTATTTCTCTGCAACTGACAGAAATGCGCAGACAAACCGAAACCTAATTTACCGGGATGTTAGGGCTTTCCTAAACGAAGTTGGTGGGGATCCTCGGGAGGCCCGGTATTGGTTGACCCAGTTCCAGAGATCAACATTGGTACAGTCTCCTGCTTTTGCTGTGCTGGAGGTAAATATCTGTTAAGGTTTTGTTTACAAAAAATAAATAAGGTTTGAAATTAAGGTAAATTTAGATGGTAACCCTTTAATGCAGGGCTCACCAACGGAGTGCCTACTGGTACCAAGGGGTCTTTAAGGACATCAACATCGTTTTAAAACAGAACAACTCACCAGTGTGCTAAATTTTTAATTATATTTTATTCTATTGCTCTTCTTTATCTATTTATGGCGCATTTCATCCTATTTAGGTGAACACAGACTCCCCCATTTGTTGGTCATTAATATTACATCCCTTATGGCTCAGTACCCATGAAATAGCCTTTAAAATGTTGGTTACCCTTTCTTTAATGCCAGGGCCGGATTTAGGATGTTTCTAAAACAGGACCATCACATTTTGGTGCCCTTGTGTTTGTTTTGAACCTATGGCTCTGTTTGAAATCCTGGGCTGCATCCTCCAAGGTCAACATAGACTGGATCCTTCGAAGTCAGTGAAAATAAGGAGACCGGAAGTGTTTTGGCTGTGAATTTGAACAGGTCTACCCTTCGGCGGTTTGTATGCTCTGTTGCTTAGCAACCGTGAAAGTTGATACATCAAGCAGGAAAAGAATGAAAACCGAAGTTTTCAAAACTGTTTGTTTATTTATTTATTATTATAAAGTGAAGAAAGACTACACTCGCAAGAATCCAGAGTGGAATAAAGGTTCCAACCACCGGGAGCAGGAAGAACTAAATTCACATTTAATGATATAACCCTTAGTCAGTTAAATAACATGCTGTTGTCATTTTGTACATCTCTGATGTTGCTGCTATTTTCAAACATCCATTAATGTAAAAATGTCCATAGCTGCATATTAGTGATTTATTCTCCAGTTTTATATTGTTAAAACACTTGTTGTTCATATATCAACTCTTCCTTATTATGTTATTCTTATACATTTTTCTTAGGTCCACATTTGTGTGACCATTTTCAATAATCTTTCTGCTGCTGTAAATTTGCCAATTTTGGGATGATAAAGGGATTTTCTATTCTATAAAAGGGGTAGAAATTTATAAGTAAATCTAAACAATGTATGTATAAAAAATATATCTGCAAAATATCAGATAATATTCAACAACAAAAAATACTAAGTTAAGCATATTGTGCAAAACAGCAATAAAAAGGATTTAACTCCTATCAGACTTATAGTCCCCACACTGCAGATATGTTAGAATTACACTATTTCACCTCACAAATATTACTCTATGTTTAAAACAAAGATGAACCAAATTAAATGTAACCACAACCTTCTTTTTTTGGCCACACCCTTTGCAAATAAATCACCCAAGGAGGTGACACTGAGCTGCACAAGGCTCCACCTGTCATGTTTGGCTTCAGGTGCCTAACCCACATGCAGAACACTCCGAGACAGGATAAAAGTTCAAAGGTTTATTTAGCAGATGAATACAATAAATAAACAGATCCCAAGGGGAACTCGTCTGGTCACGAATGGATTCTGAAATGCACACAGAGTTTACAGCTCCAGGACTGGTCACTAGTGGGTTCACTGCAGAGGGGGACAGAGGAGTTAGTGGAGGTCCAGGTAATTTGCAGGATGAGAGTGTGCAGGGCTGTACCTGTACTGGAGTTGAGCTGAGCGGCTGAGGGGGGAACCTTGAGGGTCCATAGGTTGTCGGCAGGCTGAGGGCTAGGCGGAGGCAGAGCTGGGTTTGAGTGTTTGCAGATTACCGATTAGAGTTTCCCTTCCGGTTTCTTTAGAGAGCGGGCAGGCAGGTCTTTGACAGAAATAGTTCTCCAGGGTTCTTTAAAGAACAGACAGGCAGATTACTGGCAGAGAAACTCTTCTGGGTTTCAGGTTCCAGACAGGTTCAATCTAGGAAGCAGAGAGGAGAAAACAGATCAGGTTCAGGTTCTGGTGTTCAGGGAGTCAGAGATTCAGACAGGCAGGTTGGCTCAGCCTTGCTAACCGTAACTGGCAAACACACTGGCACTGGAGAGACGTCCTCTGCCTCCTTAAATACAGATCTCTTGATGAGCAGATGAGTGTCAGGTGGTTGCAATCAGCTCCGGCTCCAGGAGATCTAGTACGACCTCTGGTGGAGAAACTGGACAGACCTCCAGATCCCAACACCACCTCTTTAAATACTTAACTTTTATGCATGGCTTAACTTCAATACTTTGAATTATTAAGTGTTTACAACATTTATTTTGGATCAACAAGCAGATAAGAATTGAGTCTTTGAATAAATTAAGTATTTTAATTTGAAGTGTATGTTGTAATATAATATATTTACAACTGATCTGTCTGGTATCAAGAGCTGAGTCAATATAATGTGGTTTGCCTTTTGGCTACATACACAGGTAATAAAAAATGCATAAGAGATCATAACAGTTAATATAGTCTCACCAGAAAAAAAATCAATAAGAGCTAAACAATAAATGCATACACTACCGTTCAAAAGTTGCGGGTCACCCAAACAATTTTATGTTTTCCTGAAAATTCACACTTATTCACCACCATACGTTGTGAAATGAATAGAAAATAGAGTCAAGACATTGACAAGGTTAGAAATAATGATTTGTATTTGAAATAAGATTTTTTATACATCAAACATTGCTTTCGTCAAAGAATCCTCCATTTGCAGCAATTCCAGCATTCTAGCTGTTAATTTGTTGAGGTAATCTGGAGAAATTGCACCCCACGCTTCCAGAAGCAGCTCCCACAAGTTGGATTGGTTGGATGTGCACTTGTTGGGTACCATACGGTCAAGCTGCTCCCACAACAGGTCAATGGCGTTCAGATCTGATGACTGCACTGGCCACTCCATTACAGATAGAATACCAGCTGCCTGCTTCTGCTCTAAATAGTTCTTGCACAATTTGGAGGTGTGTTTAGGGTCATTGTCCTGTTGTAGGATGAAATTAGCTCCAATCAAGCACTGTCCACTGGGTATGGCATGGCGTTGCAAAATGGAGTGATAGCCTTCCTTATCCAGAATCCCTTTTACCCTGTACAAATCTGCCACCTTACCAGCACCAAAGCAACCCCAGACCATCACATTACCACCACCATGCTTAACAGATGGTGTCAGGCATTCTTCCAGCATCTTTTCATTTGTTCTGCATCTCACAAATGTTCTTCTATGTGATCCAAACACCACAAACTTGGATTCATCTGTCCACACCACTTTTTTCCAGTCTTCCTCTGTCCAATGTCTGTGTTATTTTGCCCATCTTAATCCTTTTCTTTTATTGGCCAGTCTCAGATATGGCTTTTTCTTTGCCACTCTGCCCTCAAGCCCAGAATCCTGCAGCCGCCTCTTCACTGTAGATGTTTACACTGGTGTTTTGCAGGTACTATTTAATGAAGATGCAGTTGGGGATCTATGAGGCGTCTGTTTCTCAAACTAGAGACTCTAATGTACTTATCTTCTTGCTCAGTTGTACAACGCGGCCTCCCACTTCTTTTTCTACTCTGGTTACAGCCTGTTTGTGCTGTCCTCTGAAGGGTGTAGTACACACCGTTGTAGGAAATCTTTAATTTCTTAGCAATTTCTCGCATAGAATAGCCTTCATTTCTAAGAAAAAGAATAGACTGTCGAGTTTCAGATGGAAGCTCTCTTTTTCTGGCCATTTGGAGCTTTTAATTGACCCCACAAATGTGATGCTCCAGAAACTCAATCTGCTCAAAGGAAGGTCAGTTTTGTAGCTTCTGTAACGAGCTAAACTGTTTTCAGATGTGTGAACCTGATTGCACAAGGGTTTTCTAATCATCATTTAGCCTTCTGAGCCAATGAGCGAACATATTGTACCATTAGAACACTGGAGTGATAGTTGCTGGAAATAGGCCTCTATACACCTATGTAGATATTGCACCAAAAACCAGACATTTGCAGCTAGAATAGTCATTTACCACATTAGCAATGTATAGAGTGTATTTCTTTAAAGTTAAGAATAGTTTAAAGTTATTTTCATTAAAAAGATTGGTGCTTTTCCTTCAAAAATAAGGACATTTCAATGTGACCTGAAACTTTTGAATGGTAGTGTATGTTGAAATGTTCTTTGACTTAAAGAAATCATATGATATTGTCAAAGATGAGCTACAAATGAAATGTTGTCAAACAAGTTATAGAGATAAGAAATTAGAGGATGGTGTTAAATTATTTAAGAAGTTCCTCTAAAAATATTGTGCAAATAGGAGATCATAAGTCCTCATTGTAAGATAACATTATTATCAGATTCTTGACTAGGGTGGCCATTTCTATAGCACCAAAAAGGAGGACATTGTGTGGCATATCAATAAATTACTAAGGTATACATAAGAATCGGGTAAAGTCACACTTATAGTACAATTCTTAGTATGGATGCTTGTGTAGCTGAATAGAACAAAATATTACAGAAATGTAAAAAAGAATCGGTTCCCAGCATTTGTATTTATTTAATACATTGTGGTGTTTAAAAAGTGACCACCGAGATGAATCTTTAAAGTGCAGAATACCACAAAAGTATAGCTTTATTTTTAAGAGCCTTGGTCTTTTGGGAGCTTATCTTAAAGGAATAGTACACCCAAAACATGATTAGCCTTCATTTTCTACTCACCCCCATGCTGAACAAAACTCTGGAGTACTTTTTTGATATCTCAAATGCATCTGGAGATCTGGGAGGCTTCTTGCTGTCTGCTGACATTCAAATAAGGGAGGTCTATGGCGCCCGAGACAGAAAGGTCCACAAAAGTCCACAAAAACTTGTCAATATTCCTCCATACTGCTCGTCCAATGTAATCCAAGTGTCCTGAGTGGGTAGCATCCAGAATTTACTCGAAATGAAGTCATTTAGAACGTTTTAGAGCCTAAACAGTAGTGTATAGGATTTCCTAATAGCGCCCCCATGCGCGCTCACGATTCTACGGAAGCCGGCAGACCAAACCAGCGCATTCAGCTCGGCAAAGAACTCATGCTCTTCCTCAACACTGAAGTCCTCAGACATTTTTCTTTCGTTGTTTCTTTCTTTGCACAGGTAAACAGCACATTTCTTCTTCTACGCTTGCATTATCGGCAGACCAGACGCTGAATGCGCACTTTCTTCCGGTTTGGTCAGCCGGCTTCCGTAGAATCGTGAGCGCGCATGGGGGCGCTATTAGGAAATCCTATACACTACTGTTTATGCTCTAAAAACATTCTAAATGACTTCGTTTCGAGTAAATTCTGGATGCTACCCACTCAGGACACTTGGATTACATTGGACGAGCAGTATGGAGGAATATTGACACGTTTTTGTGGACTTTTATGGACCTTTCTGTCTCGGGCGCCATGGACCTCCATTATTTGAATGTCAGCAGACAGCAAGAAGCCTCCCAGATCTCCAGATGCATTTGAGATATCAAAAAAGTAATCCAGAGTGTTGTTCAGCATGGAGGTGAGTAGAAAATGAAGGCTAATCATGTTTTGGGTGTACTATTCCTTTAAGTGTCTGTGTGTGCAGCAGACCTGTCTTTATTGTCATCCCTTTAGCTATGGGCGAATCACTGAAATCCAATTTCACGTCACAGTCTACACTTCCGTAGGACTAGTGATGTTTTATAGTATAGTCCACCTTGTAACTCTGCACAAGTTATTTTAGCATCCAGGGGCGACAAAACTTAATGTAAAAAGAGTTTGCTGCTGCACATTTATTACTTTTATGTTATCCGTACTCGCACGCCGTTTAATTACAGCTTTTCCTTGACTGCTTATGTCCACATCGCATCGACAAAGTGGCAGAAACCATGGAATGAATCTACACCACCTTTGGTCATAAATTCACGCTCTTTCGTCCATTCTGGGTTAAACGACGTCCTGGTTTTGACAGGAAGCTAACTTTAATACTTAGCATCAGTAATTCTGATCCTTGTTTACTTTTGTAACCAATGACAAGCAGATCTTTATCTGACACGCCGACACTCTTAGAAAATCATCTTTTAGATCAGATAGTGATGCATTTTTGATGATTGATATTGTGCTGCAGCCCAGCAAAAAAAAAAGTAAAATAAAAATCTGCTCTACAAGTCTAGTGCCTCATAAAGGAGGACAAATACACGTCTGGCTGGATGCTGCGCTGGACGCCGGATAGTGCAATGAAAATCCGGACTGTCCGCCCTTAAGCCGGACATCTGGCCACACTATCTTGACGGATCAAAATGCACGTTCTTGACGCGTGTTCTTACAGAGACAACGCACATCAAATACGTGCGTTTTTCTAATATGAATATATATCTTCCTTTTCGGACAGCCAATGCATTTGAGCTGGTTGCATCCAATTGCTGATCAAGGCAGCCAGACCAAAAAAAGTTGAGCACAGATCTGCTTTGTGGGAAACTCTGCACAGAGTTCTGTGTGGCATATTTGCAAGTTCACTGCATTGTCATTTCAAAAAGCCTTAATTTTAGGAATATATCCACTACATGCACTTTGCTGTTATTTTGAATCCATTTCCATGCATATTTTCATGTAAAAATGTTTTTCACCAACATGCATCGCAAATTAATGTGTTGTGCTTTACAGGAATAACATAGAACCGTTCACCAGGTTTTGCAGCTGAGAAGTGGTGCAGTTGTTTACGTGACTGCAAACAATGCAAACTTTTTGCTTCTATACAGGTTCGAATCCGGCTGAGGCAGTTCAACTTTTCCCTTTATATTCTCTGTTGTCTCTAACTATGCCTGTTTTGTAGTTGTTGTTTTTTTTTGAGAATATAATCCATAAATCTAGGCTACTTCACTGTTTTTTTTTACCCATCGCCATGCATTCTTTCATGTAAAAACATTTTACATTGCGTTAATAGAATGACAATAAAGGGGCCACTTGTGTTCCAGTAAATGTGTCTGTCTGACTTGTT